CTGAGCCCGTCGGCGAGGGCTGCACACCTTTGTGGGAACGTATTTAAGTCACACAAGAGCAACTCCAGCCAGAGGGAGGAGTGACAACACCTGAGAATTACAGCTCTGCAGACACCCAGGTCGGTGGAAGAGGGCAGAAGGTGCTGCAGGCTCCAGGGCAGAGGTTCCCCTGCAGCCCGTGGCGAGGCAGGCTGTGCCCAGGCTGTGCCCAGGCTGTGCCCATGGAGGTTATGGTGGAGCAGATCTCCAGCTGCAGCTGGGGAGTCCCCAGTGCAGCTAACCAGTAAAGGAAACCAGGATCTCCTCTGGAGTTCTGCAGCTCTCTTTGTGTGACCATCACATGTGGCCAGGTTTACCACTGAAATCCCATTCAGGATGACATGACTGGAGACTGGGAAAATTGCTCTTGGAGTTTTATGGATCTTCTTTCTCAGATTCTTTGAACAAACACTGAGCTACTCCCAGGGCTACTGAGTATCAGCATAACTGCCAATGTGTTCCGCCTTGGATGTTACTCACATCAGGTGGTACCACCTAAGGGCTCAGTGCAAATGGAGCAGAACATTAGGAAGCATCTAAAGATAATCAGAAAATAACAGGAGAATAAAAAGCATTTCTTGAATTGATTGTACAAACAAGTTTTATTATTACAAGAAACAAACAAACACACACACACAAAACCCTACAACAGGATTCCCAGATTCCATTTCTGGGTTTTATTTTTAAAATGAGTACTGGTGAACTTCTGATTCTTGTACTTCAAAACTTCTTGTGCTAGTTTAGCACAGCCTGCAGGACTTGGCTTTTTCATAACTCAAGGCACAGCACCAAAATGCAGTCCTCAGCCTGACATCCAGTCAGGGTTATTCTGTGGGTTAATCAGCATGCCCGATTCCCAGAGATTTTGTGCACATTGGCTGAACAACTGATCAGAGCAGTGCTGTACATGGTAAGACTATACAACATGTAGCTTTCCAGACAGTGTGTGATGTATTCTAGCTCAGGAAAATGAGTGTGCTTCTTATTTCATAGCTCGGATTCCAGTTGCTTGCAAAGGTGACCTCCATGTTCTGGAATTATTTGAAACGTTTGTCACGTTCAGAAGGCATCTTGTTTTACTATCATGGTGAAATTCAAGCACATGACATTGTCATTCTCAGAATCATCAGAGAATCCTTGTAAAATAATGTTATAATTGCCCTAAAACAAGCAAGAAAAGAAAAGAAAAGACAGTGCATAATGCTGCTCACACTTGTCACACTACTTCAGGTGCTTGGAATGGTTATGGTGATCTCTGTTCTGACTGAAGAAGGAAGATTCCCATCAGGGACTGTTATCATGGATATATTCAGAAATAAAATAATAGTGGTCAACTTTCCTCTCGTGCCCAGTGTCCTAAGGAAGAGCCGTGGGCTGTGCCCAGCCTGCACCACTCAGGGTTCTCTCCCAAACCAGAGTCTTGTGTTTCTCCAGTGCGCCTGCTCCCCACCCAGAGCACTTCTCTTGAGTAGCGTTCCTGACTTCGCCAACAGGAGTGAGCTGAGTTCATACACCAGGCTGCAGCACTGGGCGGTTCTGTCCCTGCCCTCTGGCAGGAGCCTTGTTAGCCCCTGCAGCTCACCTCCACCAAGGGTTCAGTCCTGTCAACGCCCCATTTTCTGCTGATTTCTGCCACCCCCCGCCCCAATACCCACATCCAGACCACAGAGAGCTGCAGTAACAGCCTCTGCATTCTGCAGGCAGTCCTGGGGAAGCCCCCCAAGCTACTTACCCCATCACTCCTGACCACTCTGGTAACAGCATCTGTTGTACTGCACAGTCCACCTGTTTTGTTTTCAGCTATAATCACGTCCTGGATGTTTAATTGCTATTCAGCCCCAGTGGTGTTTACCAAAATGATTAACTTACGACGTGACTATATCAAATGTCTACTACCATCTCTGGGACTAGAAGAGATGCGAGGCTGGGTGGAGTTCAACACTGCTAGAGGCCCATGAGCTTCGAGCTAAGGGCAGGCTGGGGATTTTGTACCAGCAGGAGCTCCTTGGTGATATTTGTGGAGATTAATAAATAAATAAATAGATCTCAGGAAGCAGACGAGGGATCTGTAGGATGACACTGAGCTAGCCTGAGGATTGGTGCTGCTCCTGGTTTAATGCTGGAACACTGTTTTTACTTTTGGATACTGTTAGCCCTCTTAAAATCTTTGAAAAGGGTCTCTGGGAGGAACAAAGCAACTTGTGAAGAGAACATAAAATAATGAATGAAATAGGCAGAAAGAATATGGATGGATTTACTCAAACTGGTAAAAAGGGAACACAATAATTTACCAAACAAATTAGCATTACTAATGTGACACTAACTGGTGTCTTTGGTCTTTTATAAAAAAAAAAAAAAAGCAGAAACAATAGCTAAATAATAATCTGAAGACATCTGGCATTTCAGAGATGCTACCATTCTGAGTTACCAATTCAAGCCTGTGTAAGTTCTCTGACACTTCCTTTTGCTGTTTGCTACATTTTGGGGGAACATTTCTTTTCAGAAAATATATGCATGTAAGTATGTGATTTACCATTGTTATTTCTTTATAGAAAATGCTGAAAAGTACCTTTGGAAACTTTATTCTTGCACCTTTTATGTCAAATGATGTTGCAATTGTTTCTGTAAAGCAGAGATAATTATGATATAAATGGTTACATAATCAGAAAGCAATCAATTAAACTGCCTAAATAACTCGAAGTAATATGGCATCTCTCAGCAGCAGTGCCAATGCCATTTACTCTTCCACTGATACGGCCCTCATCTGTTTCCCCTCCCAGAGCTCTGCCTATTTGTCTGAACCATGTTAGAAAATAGAAACTAGCACAATGTTCCTGAAACATCTCCTACAGACCCATCCTACTGTGGTAACTCCAATAATTTAACTTGTAATAGTAGTTCAGCTGAATGATAACCAAGGAGAATTGACACTCTTTTTTCAAGAAAGGAAAACGTGGGTTGCATATTTTCACCTCCTTACAGATCTTTTTGGCCTTTAGTCTGACATCTCGACTGAATTCCCTGGATCTGAGCCTGTGCCCTGTTAATCCTGGTGAGCCCCTACAACAGGATTGACTCTTCTCTAATAAAAAAAGCATTGTACACAGGTGTGGAGAATCTCTTTAAAAACCCACCCAGGCACTTATCTAAATCAACTGTGTTTTGGATATTAACAGTGCCCCTAGCTCCTCTCTAGCGCTCTGGACAGTCCTGTCAAATGTAGTCTTTTCATGATGCTTTAGGGATGTTAGCAATTAAAGTGGCATAATGAGAGGGAAGATATTAGTAATCCTAATTTATAGAGATGGAAGCTGGAGTACAAGGTGGTTAAAGCACAGAATTTGGACATTTTATATTTTAGTGGGTTTTTGGCACTGAAGAACTGCCTGCTCTAAGTCGGCTGCCTGACAAGCAAGGTGAGTCGGCTGGGTCGTGGAGAGAAATCTGTCTGCATGGATTGACCAATTAGTCTTCTAAGGAATCTGCTTAACGGTGAGCGGGGGCCGGCAGGCTGTGGCCCTGCTGTGGAGGGAAGCTGCCAGGCCAGGGGAAGGGGCCGCGGGCTCTGCACACTCACCTCCCTTCAGCGCCCCGCACACGGAGTACTCGTCGTCGGCGCCGCTGCAGAGGGTCTCCTGCCAGTGCAGCACGTTCGAGCCCTCGTACCAGACGTTGAAGACCACCTTCAAAAAGGTGATGTCACCTCCTAGTTAAGAGAGTGCAGGTAAGAAAATGGCAGCTGCTGGGGAGGGAAAACATATCTGCAAACATGCTACCTAGATAAAAACTAGTTTTCTGTGAAATACAGCAATTTTTAAAGACTCCTCTCAGAACTAACAGAAACATGTATCTTGGAAGCTGTTACTTCCAGAAAAATAAAAGGCTAGTTTTCCACAAAAACCATCAGTCTTAAAAAATACAAGTGAACAACTCCAAAATCTCTTTTAATTTCTTGAGTCAAGACAGCAGAGTCCACTCAGCTCCACAGCTAACCCAAATAAATACTTAGATGAGGACACCATCATTTTAAGCAGGTGTTGCAAACAAACTGTCCTAAGTGCTGGCACCCATCAAAGATATCTTCTAGGGAAGCAAATCCAGTCCATCTCCAGAGGTTTTTACTCAGAAGGTGAAGTTTAGGATACAGCCATTCTGTAAGTAACTCGGCTTGCCCGCTGAGAGCAGAGTTTAAAGATTAGGGCTGGGTTTGCGTGCACAGCCCAGCACCATCTCCAGCTTCTAGAATACGCATCTCAGTAGAAGCCCTGCCAGCCTGGGATAGCCTTATGATATTCTTTCTCCTTAAAAGGACTTGGATAGTCTTCTTCAGGATCTTCTTCAGGCCAGAAGAGCTCGTGTGCTGCAAATCTTGTCTGCTTCTTCCAGGCAAATGCACTGTCTCACACCCAACTGTCTCTGCTCTGGCTGCGCAGCGCAGTCAGCGCAGAGCTCCAGTGACAGCTCCAACGAGTCAAACACAGACATCCTGATTTCCACAAATCACCACTGCTGTCCACGACTATCGGTTATCTATCCTGTTTCTAATCACAGAAACTGATCTAAATAATTTGGCATTTAGGATGAACTGTCAGCTTTTTCCTTGTATTCAGTTTTTCCCATTTGCAGAATATAATTGTCTAGTCAAGAGGGACTCACTTGGAATCCAGGTAAGAGCAGCCTTCCAGATGGATTTGTTGGTGACACTGCAAGGTGTCACATTAAATGTGAAAGCATGAGCTGTAGAATCTGCAGGAAAAGAAGTATTGCATACTGGTAGTGTGAATGGGCTTCTTCAGGAAAATACTAAAAATATACATATATACACACTCACAATAAACACAGACATGTTAAAATGTCTTTAGTATAAGGTATATATTAAATTGTCTAATATACATATCTGTAGTAAATATTTAATATTACATATTAAATATTAAACATGCATTTTAAATTATTATATTTTAAAATTATTTATATGCTTAGAGGGCAACAATTATCTCATACTTCTTTAAGTAGCAAGGAAAGTAAATTGTTTGGTCAATGATATTTTGCACAAAAAATTCAGAGGCAAAAGTACCTTTATTTCTCTTTTGCAATTACACAAAAAGTTTTATTAGCATTAAGCCAGCATAGTCCTCTGCTGAAAACATCCCTGCCTATGCCAGTCATGGAATCTATATAAACTTTATGATGACTAAAAATGTTTTCAGTGTACCAGCATATTTTCCAGGATAGTGTAAACGAGCCTGTGAGTAGATTTGCTGTGTGAGTGATCCAGGCAGCATTGTGCAGTGCATAGTGTCAGATCCAGTGTGATGAGGCATCTGCACTGCATCTGAGCCTGTATCCAATCAAATTTAAAGCCCATTAGCTGATATTCTAACCTTTTAAAAATCATTCAATGACAGCCTTTGGAAGGATTTCCAGTCAGTATTTTTTATTTTAGTTTTAGGAAAGAAGTCTGCTCAGCTCCCCTTGCTGCTGCCCTCCCTGGCGTGCTCGTGCTGCAGAAGCACCCTGCTCGCCACAGGCCCGAGGCAGGGTGAGCAGGGGTGCTCCCTGTGCTGGCCCAGCCACCCAGCAGGGTGGCAGGGGGTGGAAGGAGTCTGCCTGGGGCTTGGGGGGCTAAGGCAAGGGGCACAAAGGGAAACTGGCTTTCGGTAACCAGCAGTCAGCTTCTCATCTCAGAGACAGCCATGCACAGGAAATTACAACAGGAAAAAAGGCAAACAAACCTCACCATAGTCTCAAAGGTTTGGTTTGCAGCCTGAAGTCCTGCTACTTTCACCCTTGTTAACCTGAGTATGTTAGACCTGTCTGTGTGCTACATACATCTGTCTGACACAGACACCGTGCTGTCCCAGAGCCTGACTGATCCCCCAGCCTGGCAGAATATCACACTCTTCTGTTTCTTCCATATACTTAAAGCTTTTCATTGTAATACATTGGTCAAATCAATGTGGATAATTTATACGATACAGTATTGCCAAACAAGCCTAAAACCTTCATCTTCTGTTTGTTCCTGAATCAGAACCTGCCTGCCTTACCTGGGAGCATAGTTCTGTCCCAGCTGCTGCAGCCGGTGTCCTAGTAACACTCACACCCGTGCCCTTGTAGCAGGGTAATCAGTGACTGAAATATACTCCAGTTAAACTTGCTTCTACTTTTCTGTATTCATCAAAGAAACCAATCTGAATGGAAGTTCACATTTCATCAGACAACAATAATTATTGTGCAAAAGCCAGTAAAAAAAAGAACAAACTATTTTTTACTCACCACAAAAAGTATATGACATTTCTAGGTCTGGCGATGTACAAAGAAATTCACTGACTCCAGGGGTGAATAAAATCAAAAGAAAAAGTCCAAACATAGCTACTTTTTTGGTTCAGTATTCAGTGGAGTAAAACCTCATTTGGGAGTAAGAGGAACAAAAATTCAGCACAGTCATCCCCAGTCACATGTCTTCAGGGAACATTCAGTTATTTTGTCAGATTCTCCTCAATCTTAATTAATTCTACTGCAGCATTATCAGTTATCACAATAAATTTTGTGAAGAAAGAGAACTTCTGTCATTGTTACAGACAGATAATGCTGCTCGAGACATGAGTGAAAAATAAAAGAGAAAACTTACTGAAATGGGGAAGTGAGGAGAAGTAAAATTATGATTACCAGAAGCACATGAAGGGCAAGTATAGTTGACTCATCGGACGTAACATTTTTTAAGGTGTAATTTCAAACTGAGTTTCCTGTACATATTAAAGAAGAGAAAAATGCACAAATTAAGAAAACCGAGTCCACTCTTTCAGTGACAAAGTCATCAATAACTCTCACAAGTGTTCCCAGCTGATTTCTTACGGAGCTCACCATGCTTCAGGAGCACGCTGGCACTCCAGGAGAGTGTAGTTAGTGATGTGTGTCCAAAGGGAGGCAAGGATGGGAGCTGGATGCCACTGTCTGACATGTTATTGAGCAGAACCACTGGTGTTCAGGCAGGAGTCTGGAGGAGGCAGGAGGTGGCACCGGCCGTGCCCTGCTGGTACAGGGCAGCGCGGCTGGAGCACATCCCTCTGCTCCCGGGCAGGGCCGCGCTGTGCGGGGAGGGGCAGCCTGGCAGGAGTGCTGCAGAGAGGCCAGGGGTTATGCGACAGCTTTGTCCCTTTCGTTTCAAATGCAGACAAGCTCTGCTGAGCTCGGTGGCGTTCCAGACCTGGCTGAAGAACGGGTGCTGTTTTCAGGCACCTGCTGCAGTAAATGGTACAGACGAGGAATGAGTCCCCCCTGGTGGCTCAGCCAGCCGCTGTCATTCCTGTCTCCTCTCCTGGTGCTCACTGCACAAGTCGAGAGCATCCCAGCGCTTCAAACAATCCGTGTTACCAGGCTCCACGTTAAAGGATCCGACTGGCCAACGGGCACACAGGAACGGCAAGTGCTGCTGCTACCAGGGCTCAAACATCTCTTATGAGCACGAGCATCAAGTCTACAGCTTTGACCCTTGTGTCTGTACAAATTGTCCTGGAAACAAAATAACCTCAATGATTTTAATTTTTTTTCAGAAGATTCAGTTTTAGATGCTTGTGGCTTTTGCTGCCCGTATGGATGCCATTTGTACAGCTGAGCTCTTCTGGTGCTCACTGGAGCCCCAGGTGAGTGCACTGGAGGTGTGAGGAGTCTGCTCTGTCCCTTTCAAGCCTGTATGAAGGTCACTGGAGAAGGAATATATAGACTTCTATAAATTTTATTTATACTAAATAGTTTTTCTTTGCTATACTGTTGTAATTACATGCCCTGATCCAGAAGGAAGATGAAAAGGAGGGA